CGTTGAGGGAGAGGTTGTTGTCCTGGCACCACACGGCCAGATCTCTGACCTCCTCCCTATAGGCTGTCTCATCGTTGTCGGTGATCAGGCCTACCACTGTTGTGTCGTCGGCAAACTTAATGATGGTGTTGGAGTCGTGCCTGGCCATGCAGTCATGGGTGAACAGAGCGTACAGGAGGGGACTGAGCACGCACCCCTGAGGGGCCCCCGTGTTGAGGATCAGTGTGGCAGATGTGTTGTTACCTACCCTTACCACCTGGGGGCGGCCCGTCAGGAAGTCCAGGATCCAGTTGCAGAGGGAGGTGTTTAGTCCCAGGATCCTTAGCTTAGTGATGAGCTTAGAGGGCACTATGGTGTTGAATGCTGAGCTGTAGTCAATGAATAGCATTCTCACGTAGGTGTTCCTCTTGTCCAGGTGGGAAAGGGCAGTGTGGAGTGCAATAGAGATTGCATCATCTGTGGATCTGTTGGGGCGGTATGCAAATTGGAGTGGGTCTAGGGTTTCTGGGATAATGCTGTTGATGTGAGCCATGACCAGCCTTTCAAAGCACTTCATGGCTACAGACGTCAGTGCTACGGGTCGGTAGTCATTTAGGCAGGTTATCTTAGAGTCCTTGGGCACGGGGACTATGGTGGTCTGCTTGAAACATGTTGGTATTACAGACTCAGTCAGGGACATGTTGAAAATGTCAGTGAAGACACTTGCCAGTTGGTCAGCACATGCTCGGAGTACACGTCCTGGTAATCCGTCTGGCCCTGCGGCCTTGTGAATGTTGACCTGCTTAAAAGTCTTACTCACATCGGCTACGGAGAGCGTGATCACATAGTCATCCAGAACAGCTGGTGCTCTCATGCATGCTTCAGTGTTGCTTGCCTCGAAGCGAGCATAGAAGTGGTTTAGCTCGTCTGGTAGGCTTGTGTCACTGGGCAGCTCGCGGCTGTGCTTCCCTTTGTAGTCTGTAATAGTTTTCAAGCCCTGCCACATCCGATGAGCGTCAGAGCCAGTGTAGTACGATTCAATCTTAGTCCTGTATTGACTCTTTGCCTGTTTGATGGTTCGTCGGAGGTCATAGCGGGATTTCTTATAAGCGTCCGGGTTAGAGTCCCGTTCCTTGAAAGCGGCAGCTCTACCCTTTAGCTCAGTGTGGATGTTTCATGTAATCCATGGCTTCTGGTTGGGGTATGTACGTACGGTCACTGTGGGGACGACATCATCGATGCACTTATTGATGAAGCCAGTGACTGATGTGGTGTACTCCTCAATGCTGTCTGAAGAATCCCGGAACATGTTCCAGTCTGTGCTAGCAAAACAGTCCTGTAGCTTAGCATCTGCGTCATCTGACCACTTTTTTATTAACCGAGTCACTGGTGCTTCCTGCTTTAGTTTTTGCTTATAAGCAGGAATCAGGAGGATAGAGTTATGGTCAGATTTGCCAAATGGAGGGTGAGGGAGAGCTTTGTATGCGTCTCTGTGTGTGGGGTAAAGGTGGTCTAGAGTTTTTTTTCCTCTGGTTGCACATTTAACATGCTGGTAGAAATTAGGTAGAACGGATTTCAGTTTCCCTGCATTAAAGTCCCCGGCCACTAGGAGCGCTGCATCTGGATGAGCGTTTTCCTGTTGATTAATGGCCTTGTACAACTCATTCAGTGCAATCTTAATGCCAGCATTGGTTTGTGGTGGTAAATAGACAGCTATGAAAAATATAGATGAAAACTCTCTTGGTAAATAGTGTGGTCTACAGCTTATCATAAGATACTCTACCTCAGGCGAGCAAAACCTCGAGACTTCCTTAGTATTTGATTTTGTGCACCAGCTGTTGTTTACAAATATACACAGACCGCCACCCCTTGTCTTACCGGAGTCAGCCGTTCTGTCCTGCCGATGTAGCGTATAGCCTGCTAGCTGAATGTTATCATTGTCGCCATTCAGCCACGACTCGGTGAAACATAAGATATTACAGTTTTTAATGTCCCGTTGGTATGATAACCGTAATCTTAAGTCATCCACTTTATTTTCAAATGATTGAACGTTGGCTAATAGGATTGATGGAAGAGGCAGTTTACTCGCTCGCCGTCGGATCCTTACAAGGCACCCCGATCTACGTCCATGATATCTCCGTCTCTTCCTCACGCGAATGACGGGGATTTGGGCCTTGTCGGGTGTCTGTATGATATCCTTCGCGGCCGCCTCGTTGAAGAAAAAATCTTCGTCCAATACGAGGTGAGTAATCGCTGTCCTGATATCCAGAAGCTCTTTTTGGTTATAAGAGACGATGGCAGAAACATTATGTACAAAATAAATTACAGATAACGCGGAAAAACACACATAATAGTACAATTGGTTAGAGGGCTGTAAAAGGATTTGCCAGTAGATTGTCAACTTGATACATGATGATGACTGCTGGCTTGCTAGATAAGATTTTAAAAGTATGATGTTGACATGATCAGTCCAATCAAAGCTATGGTGGATATAACGTGATTTGACGTCATTTTATCTGTGGCCAATGACCTTGAGCCTTCTTGGATGGGCACTTCTAATGTAACTCTATGGCAGCACCCAAGGGGCTTGAATTTTCGATCTCTCCCCGTAGATTTTGCGGTGATGTAGTGTACCCATGAGTGACAGAACACTGAGCCAATCAAGGCGCAACTAGAGAACATTACCAACCCCTACCCTCCATATATTCCGCTGGCTTCCCCACCACCACAGAAAGCACTGAGCTAGGCTGAAACACCTGCATTTTGGAGCTGCCTTACTCAAGAAAGCAAAAAAGAAACCATGTTTGTATGCGGCTTTATTAACTGAATACTTTTTTAACATTGTTTGCAAACTGATATGTGACACATATTAATGCCCAATTTTTTTTAGCTAAACAGGTGGGGCTCAAAACATGATGGGTCGCACTGAATGAGGGGTCGCCACTGCGGCTATGTTATGTGTGATGATTGTGAGGCGCCATACAAATTCGACAGTCACAAGATGGGACTTCAAATAGGCCTAGAGCCTATAACTGTAGCCTACTGTTTAGATGGGTTAAATGGAAACTTAAATCTAACTAACCAGAATAAACCTACTGTTTTTTGGACAACTCCAAAACCTCTGATAATACTTGTCCCGTGTGAATCAACATCCCTATGTTTTGAGGGAAATGTCTTGAGTTTTACAGGTGTTGCTCACGGTTTGAGCAAGAAAACAATAACTGATTGGATAAATTGAACTAAGTGCTGCGCATAAACTAGATATGAATGGCTGTCACGGTTTCGGCCGAGGCTGCTCCTTCTCCTTGTTCGGGCAGGCTTCGGCGGTCGTCGTCTCCGGAGTACTAGCTGCCACCGTTCTATGTTTCTATGTTTGATTGGTTTTGTCTGTTTGTTACACCTGTTCCTTGTTAGTGTTCATTATGCGTCCTATTTAGTTCTCTTGTGTTTGGTCAGGTGTTGTGTGTAATTGTTCGATGTCACGTGTTGTATTAGTTCGCTGTTCTGTGCTCTCTGTATTCGTTTTGTTAGAGAGAGTCCCGCACGTTGTGCGCTTTTATTTTTGGTACTTACCAGTGTGCGTAATTGTTCGCCTGTGGCCTGTTGCCGTGGTTGGCTTGTTTCCTTGGACTTCACTAAAGACATCTGTTTCGAACCTCTGTGTGTCCTGCGTGTGATTCCACGTTACCTCTACACTCAACCCTGACAATGGCCTACATGTGTCAACGTTAACAGTGAATGCTTTTGTTTATACGTTTTGTGCGAATGAATTGAATATCGCCAAATGCATCATCAAATAATATTGCGCCTATTTAATGCAACCCTTGCTGTCAATAGATCGCAAAGCAGCATACAACTGAGCTAAACGTTTGGAACAAGTTCACTTTCTCATCCATAGCCTAAAAACGCATATCAGTTACAAGTTTGCTGTTTAGCTCACATCTGAAGGTTGGGGGGCATTTAGGACGTCTTCTACTGCGGATCGCTAAAATATCCTAATGATTATGATCACACTTTCTCAATTCAAATATTATGGCGACATTATGCCAAAGACAGTTTGCTATGGTTAAGAAACTTGGGAAACAAGCTCAAGTTATCAGTGTAGCCTGTTATCGCCTGGACTCCTGCAGAATTAAGCATTTCTTGCAGTAAAATTATACACCAAATGTAGGAAAAATTTGGACTTGGGAACAGTAGTGGAGAAATATGATTTATTTATTTCTGCATCTTGAGAGAATGCAATGCTCAGTTAGATACGATCTGTAGAGGTGCTGTCCCAGCTAGCACAGTGGATTTGGCCGATTCCGGCTGAGAGTGGGGGCACTCGGTTGAGAGTCAGACTCCGCCGACGTCATGTGGCCCGGGTCTGGGCCGCCTTCGGCAGTATTACTTATGGCTAGGATGCGGGGACTGAGCTCGGGCCGATTCCAGTGTGAGTCATCTGGCCCAAATGTATTACTTGGGGCTCAGGCCGATTGTGGCTACTCTCTGGCAGATGATTACCCGGGCTGCTTTATATAATTAACATTTCAATGTTTATTTATTTTTCCATAAAATTGTAGTTCAAATAGAATTGATACAGAAGACAAACAAAAATTTGATTTCTGCTTTGAAAGTCATTTTGCGCTGCCATATTCAGTATGGCTACTCGTTGAGTTTAAACATCCATGGTGGACCACCACCTGTGCTCGAGCAGATATACTTCCTGTCTACCAGCGCACGAGTTAATGAGGAGCTTGCTATTCCAACTGTCATAAACTGTCACTAGAGCTCGACCATCAAGATGGTATGTAGACCCCTTTTGTTAAGGTGGAAACAAAATAGCTTCCTCTTGCAGCCAGCCATTCAGCCAACAAAGGTGATTACGGTTCCTAAGAATTAATGCTAGTCGCTATATATGCCCTTTAATAATTCAGTTAATCAGTGTGTGTTTTAGAGCTCCGGCACCTTCAGAAATGACTGAGAAGTATTCAGGGTATAGTGTGACTTCAAACAACCGGCGAAGGTGTACTGCAAACGTGTCAAGATTTCTGACATCTATCCAACAAGAGCAGTCTACACTTAATGTAGAAAATGCTGCTGTTCCTCAGACATTTTATATGTCCAATGAGGCCGCTGAGGAAATGTTGTTCAGTGGTCAGGACTTTGAGGATGAACTGTTTGTGGATGCTTTGATGGACACTGCAGGTGTAGGAGAAGGTGGAGGTCAGGGTGAGGTTGTTGATGCTGAGGAGAACGTTGATGATGAGGGTGATGATGTCAAAGGAGATGGTTGACGATGAGGTCGAAAGTCCAACGGACTGTTTCAAAGGCTACTTGGTGAATTGGGCTCTTGAATATGAAATAACAAGAAGAAGGAGACCAAAGTTGAGCCTTCATCATGGGTCCAGGATGGCATGAGCTACTGGCCCCCTTATACATCCACAGAACGCTGCACAAGGGCAGTGAAACGTTAAGAAGCACCTGACGAAACATGGGGTTTGTTTGATGTTAACATCAGGTTAACATCAATGTTATATTTGCAGTCAACTATTTATACTGACATCAACCTCCTGAGACAACAATATGAACAGTGCCTTGCAAAAGTATTCATCACCCTTAGCGTCTTTCCTATTTTGTTGCATTACAACCTGTAATTTAATGGATTTTTATTTGGATTTCATGTAATGGACATACACAAAATAGTCAAAATTGGTGAAGTGAAATGAAAAAATCACTTGTTTCAAGAAATTCAACAAAAGGCATGTGGGAGACTCCCCAAACATATGGAAGAAGGTACTCTGGTCAGTCTAAAATTGAGCTTTTTGGCCATCAAGGAAAACGCTATGTCTGGCGCAAACCCAACACCTCTCATCACCCCGAGAATACCATCCCCACAGTGAAGCATGGTGGTGGCAGCATCATGCTGTGGGGATGTTTTTCATCATCAGGGACTGAGAAACTGGACAGAATTGAAGGAATGATGGATGGCGCTAAATACAGGGAAATTCTTGAGGGAAACCTGTTTCAGTCTTCCAGAGATTTGAGACTGGGACGGTGGTTCACCTTCCAGCAGGACAATGACCCTAAGCATACTGCTAAAGCAACGCTCGAGTGGTTTAAGGGGAAACATTTAAATGTCTTGGAATGGCCTAGTCAAAGCCCAGACCTCAATCCAATTGAGAATCTGTGGTATGACTTAAAGATTGCTGTACACCAGCGGAACCCATCCAACTGCTGGAGCAGTTTTGCCTTGAAGAATGGGCAAAATTCCCAGTGGCTAGATGTGCCAAGCTTATAGAGACATACCCCAAGAGACTTGCAGCTATAATTGCTGCAAAAGGTGGCTCTACAAAGTATTGACTTTGGGGGGTGAATAGTTATACACGCTCAAGTTCTGTTTTTTTGTCATATTTCTTGTTTGTTTCACCAAAAAATATATTTTGCATCTTCAAAGTGATAGGAGTAAAGGATAAAGTAATCCTTCAAGCCCCCCCCCCCCCCCCCCCCCCCCCCCCCCCCCCCAAAAATAAAAAAAAATAAAAAAAATTTGTAAAGTGGTTATCCCACTGGCTATAAGGTGAATGCACCTATTTGTAAGTCGCTCTGGATAAGAGCGTCTGCTAAATGACGTAAATGTAAATGATGTAAATGTAATAGGCATGCTGTGTAAATGAAATGATACAAACCCTAAAAAGAATATCAAATTTAATTCCAGGTTGTAAGGCAACAAAATAGGAAAAATGGCAAGGGGGGTGAATACTTTCGCAAGCCACTGTTTCTGCAATCTAAACACAATACATTAATATTCCCTTACAGACAAATGTGAAGAGGCTCGCCATAAGCTTCCTATGGCTGTGGTCCAATCTGATCTTCAGACTGAGGAGGAGGATGACCGCCCCGCATATATGAAGAGAAAAAGAAGGTATAACAACTATAACACATACGATAAAAAAAAAAAAAAACATTTCTCAGTGGATGGCCTAAATATCCAACATATGTTTACTTCACTGGTCGTTCTTATGAGTTTAATAACCTTATATAACCTTAAATACACAAATATTTAGTGCCACTGAAAGTGAGGATGACGAGCCAAAGGAAAAGTTTCCACGCAAGGGCCAGTTAAACACCTCTAAGGATTTGCCACCTGCACCAGTTATCAGACCTCCAGAGGACAGAAGGGAATTCTGATAGGCCAACAAGGTTTGAGCCAAACATTCAACAACCGTAGCAGCCAGTGTGTGATAGTAAGTGTTACATGTAAGGTACATATTGTGGCCCCCACCAACATCAAAGTTGCCCACCCCTGATCTATAATGTGATTGCGTTGATTATGTTGTTTATATTTATCTTTATTATCCTTTATAACTTTAACTACTGAAAGAATTCATCTCAGCCTATGCTACCCTCCAGTCCCTCGACTTCTTGGCGCTGACGGAAACATGGATTACCACTGAAAACACTGCTACTCCTACTGCTCTCTCCTCGTCAGACCATGTGTTCTCGCATACCCCGAGAGCATCTGGTCAGCGGGGTGGTGGCACAGGAATCCTCATCTCTCCCAAGTGGACATTCTCTCTTTTTCCCCTGACCCATCTGTCTATCTCCTCATTTGAATTCCATGCTGTCACAGTCATTAGCCCATTCAAGCTTAACATCCTTGTCATTTATCGCCCTCCAGGTTCCCTTGGAGAGTTCATCAATGAGCTTGACGCCTTCATAAGTTCCTTTCCTGAGGATGGCTCACCCCTCACAGTTCTGGGTGACTTCAACCTCCCTACGTCTACCTTTGACTAATTTCTCTCTGCCTCCTTCTTTCCACTCCTCTCCTCTTTTGACCTCACCCTCTCACCGTCCCCCCTACTCACAAGGCAGGCAATACGCTTGACCTCATCTTTACTAGATGCTGTTCTTCTACTAATCTCACTGCAACTCCCCTCCATGTCTCCGACCACTACTTTGTATCCTTTTCTCTCTCGCTCTCCTCCAACACTACTCACTCTGCCCCTACTCAGACGGTAATGCGCCGTCGCAACCTTCGCTCTCTCTCCCGCTACTCTCTCCTCTTCCATCCTATCATCTCTTCGAGAGTTGCACCCCTTCTCGAAAAACCAACACTCGATTCCTCTGATGTCAACAACTACAGACCAGTATCCCTTCTTTCTTTTCTCTCCAAAACTCTTGAGTGTGCCGTCTCTTGCTATCTCTCTCAGAATGACCTTCTTGATCCAAACCAGTCAGGTTTCAAGACTGGTCATTCAACTGAGACTGCTCTTCTCTGTGTCACGGAGGCTCTACGCACTGCTAAAGCTAACTCTCTCTCCTCTGCTCTTGTCCTTCTAGACCTGTCTGCTGCCTTTGATACTGTGAACCATCAGATCCTCCTCTCCACCCTCTCCGAGTTGGGCATCTCCGGCGCGGCTCACTCTTGGATTGCGTCCTACCTGACCGGTCGCTCCTACCAAGTGGCGTGGCGAGAATCTGTCTCCGCACCACGTGCTCTCACCACTGGTGTCCCCCAGGGCTCAGTTCTAGGTCCTCTCCTATTATTGCTATACACCAAGTCACTTGGCTCTGTCATATCCTCACATGGCCTCTCCTATCATTGCTACGCAGACGACACACAACTAATCTTCTCCTTTCCCCCTTCTGATAACCAGGTGGCGAATCGCATCTATGCATGTCTGGTAGACATATCAGTGTGGATGACGGATCACCACCTCAAGCTGAACCTCGGCAAGACGGAGCTGCTCTTCCTCCCGGGGAAGGACTGCCCGTTCCATGATCTCACCATCACGGTTGACAACTTCATTGTGTCCTCCTCCCAGAGTGCGAAGAGCCTTGGCGTGACCCTGGACAACACCCTGTCGTTCTCCGCTAACATCAAGGCGGTGACCCGATCCTGTAGGTTCATGCTCTACAACATTCGGAGAGTACGACCCTGCCTTACACAGGAAGCGGCACAGGTCCTAATCCAGGCCCTTGTCATCTCCCGTCTGGATTACTGCAACTCGCTGTTGGCTGGGCTCCCTGCCTGTGCCATTAAACCCCTACAACTCATCCAGAATGTCGCAGCCCGTCTGGTGTTCAACCTTCCCAAGTTCTCTCACGTCACCCTGCTCCTCCGCACACTCCACTGGCTTCCAGTTGAAGCTCGCATCTGCTACAAGACCATGGTGCTTGCCTACAGAGCTGTGAGGGGAACGGCACCTCCGTACCTTCAGGCTCTGATCAGTCCCTACACCCAAACGAGGGCATTGCGTTCATCCACCTCTGGCCTGCTGGCCCCCCTACCTCTGCGGAAGCACAGTTCCCGCTCAGCCCAGTCAAAACTGTTCGCTGCTCTGGCACCCCAATGGTGGAACAAGCTCCCTCACGACGCCAGGACAGCGGAGTCACTCACCACCTTCCGGAGACACTTGAAACCCCACCTCTTTAAGGAATTCCTGGGATAGGATAAAGTAATCCTTCTACCCCCCCCCCCCCCACCCCCCCAAAAAAAAAAAAAAACATATTGTAAAGTGGTAATCCCACTGGCTATAAGGTGAATGCACCAATTTGTAAGTTGCTCTGGATAAGAGCGTCTGCTAAATGACGTAAATGTAAAATGTAAATGTAAATGTTATGTGAGGGATAAAACACAACTGTATTCTGTTTTGTATTTTTGCAGCAATTCTTCGTGAGATCTTAACCTCCATAGAAATGATTAAGCAACAGCTAAAGCTGATTTTGCTGCAGCTGCAAAAGCTCCAGGCGAACAGATCAACCCTGGATGAGGTTCCAGATTTGACAGACCTTCGACTTCCAATGTCCTCGCTGGAAGACTTGAGGAGAGTTGAGGGTAAACTTTCAGACTTAAAAAAGAACCTGGTATGACAAGATATCATTATATCATTACATGTATTGCTGAAAAGTAATCAACCAAGTGACAATCTGACCCAGAGGACCATTCCAGCTTTCTTCAAATTAGTATTATATTAATCATTGTTTTTCAGACCATATATTTGGAACTGTCTGGAGGGATGACCACCAAGGAGAATGTGTGGAGAATCCTCTCAAAACTCCTTACAAATGGTTTGGCCATGAAAATGAATTGGAGAGGGGCCAATGGGAAACAGGCTTTTGAACCTCTTGCCTTAAAAAGTGTTGTTATCTGTAAGTTTGCTTTCAAGGCCACTGCATTGGGCAGAGAGGCATACTGTCACAGAAGTGATTCATTAAATAAAACAGGCCATCATGTCAATTTGATTGTCAGCAGGGAAGTTCATTATTACAACACAGTTTTCAAGGCAGGAAGAATATAATGAACTGGAAATATTTTACAAAAAGCCGTTGATAAAACTATTTTGTATGGATAGGGGACTTGCATAAACTATGAGTCATATTTCAGGGAGTATTTCAATAAGTGTTCTATTTTCTCTCTTTCTGATATTTTTGTGCGTCACAGCCATTCTGGAGTTCCTGATGTGGAGATAAAAAATACATAAAACGATGGATGGAGGGAGAAAAAGGAGAGAGCAAGTGAGAAGTGACCGGACCTTGGACGAGTGATGGAGAAAACTGTTTGCCTACCAGAGCTTAAATAGAAAGAAAGCTTAAATAGACAAAATCAAACTACTTCTCATTGTTTCTGTGATCAAAAAATAAAATAAACATTTAAATTAAATTCTTTCAGTCTTTCCTGTTTAAGTAGTATTTTAGTATTTTGATACTTTGTGTAAGGCAATTGATCAGAATTAAAAACTTTATGGATGGGTATAATTTGTATGTATAAAATTTATAATAGCAATATAGAAAATTACTAAATCGGGAAATTTTGTATACATTTCTAAACATTTGCATCGGGCCACTTCGGGCCGCTGGGGGGATTCTGGTAAGATGCCGGCCAAGTCGGCTGAATTCCGGTAGGTGGAAAATTTTTGTGTGACTTAATTCATAGGAAAATACATTTTTGGGGGGCAAACTTCGGAACAATCTTTTGAAAGTCATTAGAGCAATGCATGATGGGCAATGGTGTTCTAAATCAAATCAAATCAAATGTTATTGGCCACATGCGCCGAATACAACAGGTGCAGACATTACAGTGAAATGCTTACTTACAGCCCTTAACCAACAGTGCATTTATTTTTAATAAAAAAGTAAAATAAAACAACAACAAAAAAGTGTTGAGAAAAAAAGAGCAGAAGTAAAATAAAATAACAGTAGGGAGGCTATATATACAGGGGGGTACCGGTGCAGAGTCAATGTGCGGGGGCACCGGCTAGTTGAGGTAGTTGAAGTAATATGTACATGTGGGTAGAGTTAAAGTGACTATGCATAAATAATTAACAGAGTAGCAGCAGCGTAAAAAGATGGGTTGGGGGGGTAGTGCAAATAGTCCGGGTAGCCATGATTAGCTGTTCAGGAGTCTTATGGCTTGGGGGTAGAAGCTGTTGAGAAGTCTTTTGGACCTAGACTTGGCACTCAGCCGTTCTATCCTGCCGATGTAGCGCATAGCCCGCTAGCTGTATGTTATCCATGTCGTCGTTCAGCCACGACTCGGTGAAACTTAAGATATTACAGTTTTTAATGTCCCGTTGGTAGGATAACCGTAATCTTAGGTCATCCAATTTATTTTCCAATGATTGAAGATTGGCTAATAGGATTGATGGGAGCGGCAGTTTACTCGCTCGCCGTCGGATCCTTACAAGGCATCCCGACCTACGTCCACGATATCTCCGTCTCTTCCTCATGCGAATGACGGGGATTTGGGCCTTGTCGGGTGTCTGTAGGATATCCTTCGCGGCCACCTCGTTTAAGAAAAATTATTCGTCCAATACGAGGTGAGTAATCGCTGTCCTGATATCCAGAAGCTCTTTTTGGTTATAAGAGACGATGGCAGAAACATTATGTACAAAATAAATTACAAATAACGCGGAAAAACACACATAATAGTACAATTGGTTAGAGGGCTGTAAAACGGCAGCCATCTTCTCTTACTGCCTTTGTTATGTGTCCCACATGTATTTATATAAAAAACAACAACGTGTTAACAACCCAATATCGTTAATCAATCAGGTTGTCACCGAAATATTTATAATAGTCAGCATTACGTTGTTTAAAAATTTTTTTTTATGCCAATACAATACTCGCTTAATACTTTGGGATACTGGTGCACTTGTAGTCAGAAAGGCCCTTTTTTCGTGTAGGCAACAGTAGGCTACGGTCACAAGACGCAGGCTCCTAAGTGTCCATAGAATTCTAAGCAAACAGCGGGAGGCAGGGCTTCTCCTAAGATCTTCCATCTTTTATGGAACAGTCTGGCCTACCCATGTGAGAGACGCAGACTCAGTCTCAACCGTTAAGTCTTTACTGAAGGACTTATCTCTTCAGTAGGTCATATGATTGAGTGTAGTCTGGCCCAGGAGTGTGAAGGTGAACGGAAAGGCTGGAGCAACGAACAGCCCTTGCTGTCTCTGCCAGGCCGGTTCCCCTCTCCACTGGGGTTCTCTGCCTCTAACCCTGTTGCAGGGGCTGAGTCACTGGCTTGCTGGTGCTCTTTCATGCCGTCCCTGGGAGGGGTGCGTCACTTGAGTGGGTTGAGTTACTGACGTGATCTTCCTGTCTGGGTTGGCGCCCCCCCCTTGGTTTGTGCTGTGGTGGAGACCTCTGTGGGCTATACTCGGCCTTGTCTCAGGATTGTAAGTTGGTGGTTGGGGATATCCCTCTAGTGGTGCGGGGGCTGTGCTTTGGCGGAGTGGGTGGGGTTATATCCTTCCTGTTTGGCCCTGTCCGGGGGTTTCTTCGGATGGGGCCACAGTGTCTCCGGACCGCTCCTGTCTCAGCCTCCAGTATTTATGCTGCAGTAGTTTATGTGTCGGGGGGCTGGGGTTAGTTGGTTATACCTGGAGTACTTCTCCTGTCTTATCCAGTGTCCTGTGTGAATTTAAGTATGCTCTCTCTAATTCTCTCGTTCTCTCTTTCTCTCTGAGAACCTGAGCCCTAGGACCATACGTCAGGACTACCGGGCATGATGACACCTTGCTGTCCCCAGTCCGCCTGGCCTTGCTGCTATTCCAGTTTCAACTGTTCTGCCTGCGGCTACGAAACCCCTACCTGTCCCAGACCTGCTGTTTTCAACTCTTAATGATCGGCTATGAAAAGCCAACTGAGAGACCTGAGCCCTAGGACCATACGTCGGGACTACCGGCCGTGGTGACTCCTTGCTGTCCCCAGTCCGCCTGGCCTTGCTGCTATTCCAGTTTAAACTGTTCTGCCTGCGGTTATGGAACCCCTACCTGTCCCAGACCTGCTGTTTTCAAACTCTTAATGATCGGCTATGAAAAGCCAACTGAGATTTATTCCTGATTATTATTTGACCACTACAAATTTTTCAAACTCGTTATAATTTAATATTTCTAGGTGGGCCTACATTAGCAAAATGTTCTTCATAAATGCATTTAATACATAGGCTACACCTCATAACTATTTAATTTCGTGAGTACTACAAATGTCTTCAATGCTTTACAGGACTCCACTTTTCTGTACATTCACCATCTTAAGATGCATTTTATACAAGCCTGTGTCGAGTTTTATGAGTGTTGACAGATTTTGTGGTATCGATGAAGATATTTGATTGGGAAATGGGGATACATTCTTATGATGGGAAATTATAATACACACACACGCACACAAACACTATCTAATTATAGGCAAGTTGACTAACAAATAGCCTACAAAGATGTCGTAAATTATAAGCAGAAAACATATCTAAATCAGGGAAAACCAAATCCTACACCCACTGTCAAAAAAATCATTCTGCAGTCTTTGACTGTAGCCTATAGCACATTTTCTATATTTGCGGGTTAGGGTTGGGTGCGGGCCTCAGATTTTCACTTTATCACATATTGTCGTGCAGTTGCGGATGGGTTATTAGCAATTGCGGGCAGGTGCGGGTGAACAAACAGCTTACCCGCGCACCACTAACACACACATTGTATGCACAATCCAACGTGGTGAAACACAAAGCCGATGGTTGGCCAAGGCATTCCAGCTGCCGGGCCGCCTCAGGTCCTCAACCCTGGCAAGCTGTTGGGCTGGCCACAAAAATGCCAGCTCTCTCTCTCTCTCTGTCACCCCCCCCCCCCACACACACACACACACAATTGCACACGCACATACACACTTACTCACACACACTCTCTCTCTTTCTCTATGTCTCTCACTTGGTGTATCATAATTGTGTATCAAAGTAATGTACAACCAATGATAACTGCACAGTTACAGATCCACATTATTCAAAATCCATATAAATTCCCCTTTCTCCATCCCTGTTACAATGCTAATGGCAGTTGCATGTTTCAATATGTACTCCATACATGACTCTCTGAGGCTACATCTTACCGTGACTGTCTTGATGTGGCCACTGCCTTTGGTACAGGTCCAGCCAGAGCGGTTGAAGAGGAGGCCACACACCTCTCCCTCCAAGCAAGGCGCCATCTCACACCACTGTCTGCTCCTCACAATACGCACTGAGGGGACAGAAAGAAGGGAGAGAAGAGAGAGAGAGAGACAGAGAGACAGAGAAAGAGAGGGGGGGGACCAAGAGTTAGAACCAAGCTCGATTTAGCTACTGTGTATCAACCTTTTAAGTCATACTTTAGTGCATTTCAACAGTAATAAAAACCAGAGAGCAAGGAGAGTGTGAGAGAGCGAGGAGAGAGAGAGAGGGGGGAGAGAGACGGGGGAGAGAGATGATATATATCTAGATAGAGAGAGAGAGAGTGAAAGAGAGGTACTTCACAATCAGTGGTTCTTGATTAGATCCTTTGAATGTCATCAGTCTAGACGTAACGTAATGATGGCCACTCTTGTGGGGGGGAGAAAAAGATAGAAAGAGAAGCTGAATAACCATCAAGACCTCTACATTTCCATTTACCTCCACAGTTATATTTACAGGCAAAGTTCCCAAACCCACTATGGTAAGTAGTGATCAATTGCAGTTGCCACAAATCAAATCAACTGACCACCAATGTCTTCACTATGTCTCTATGCTGTAATTCCATTAAGAGATGTAATGACAGAAAGCGTTCCCATTCTCCATAGTGGCAGCCAGTGAGCAACAGGTCCGTCTTTAATGGACTGACTATTAACGGAGCGCGAGTTCCGCGACGGGCAGCCAGTAGGGGTGTAACAGTATAAGTATTTGTACCGAACCGTCCGGTGCAGGGACCTCGGTTCAGTCTGCACTGGGAACCTGAAGGAATACATAAAATAAATATTTACCAGATAAAAACCCTATGCTGTGTTGTAGGCCTATGCCTCTTGAGTAAATCTGAGCTGAATTTTGTTTTTTCAGGCTATTCCATTAAAACAACTAGAGATTATGCGCACATTCTAATCTTAATAGCCTCAATTCAAACTGTCCTTTTGTGAGGCGCAACCGGAACTAGTTCTGTACGATGGCAGCTGATTCTGACTGGGCCAAAGAAATGCGGCCATTCTCGGGGGTTGAGAATAGGGGGTTTCAGCACCTCCCGAAAGTGCTTGAGCCACGTTAGGAACTTCCCTCTTGCATCCATTTCAGCAAACAGGTAGTACCCACTTTACATAAGCAAACCAAAGCCGAAGTTTTCAATAACAGTGACAGCCCATCACATTATGGTCCGTGCTATCCGGGTTCCTTGGGACGTCCCTACCCCACTGAACTTGAAATGTAAAATGGTTAATGTAAGGGTTAGGGTTACGTAAGGGTTATGGTTAAGGTTAGGGTTAGGGTAGGAATGTCCCAAGGATCCCAGAAATCACTGACTATCACATTACAACGGAGTGGGAGATGTACCGTTCTACAGACACACCCCCTTTATGAGAGTCATAAGTGAGCATCTGGCACTAAAGGAGGCAGTGTCATGGTGCGTTCATAACCAAGTGGGACGTGGGAATTTACCACATACGACTGGGAAAAATCCCCTTGAATGGTCCTAAAACTGGTAATTATCAGTGAGAAACCCTGTATGTGGCAGGGGCTACAGTCCACTATGGATTACAAAGGAAGATCCAACCGTGATCTGCACAACAATGCCTCTCAACCAGATGCACTCAACACATTTTATGCACGCTTTGACAACCACAACATTGTGCCGGGTGTGAGGGCTGTCACCGACCCAGAGGATTGGGTGATCTCGCTCTCCGAGGCCGACGTGAGAAAGGTCTTTAATCAGGTCAACACCCGCAAGGCCGCGGGGCCCGACGGTATTCCAGGGCGCGTTCTCAGAGCATGCGCAGAACAGCTTGCAGGCATATTCATGGTGATTTTAAAACTCTCCTTTCCCAGTCTGTAATCCCCACGTTTTAAAATGACCACCATCATTCCTGTCCCCAAGGCTTCATGGCACAATGACTACCGCCCTGTAGCACTCACTTCTGTAATCATGAAGTGCTTTGAGAGGCCACTCGGACGCTCAACACAGGGGCCCCATAGGGGTGGGTGCTTAGTCCCCTCCTGTACTCCCTGTTCGCCCACGACTGCGTGGCCACGCTGGTATTTAAGACTTCACAACTAGTAAATTCCCACCTCCCACATTGTTACAAATGCAGCATCAGAGTGGAAACTTGTGAGGCCCAACATAACAATCCGGTCACAACAGACAATGCAAGGAACATTGTGAATGCTGAACATTGGAATTACATTTTCCCGCTGTACTGAAACCGAACCGTGACCCCTAAACCGCAATACGTACCAAACCGTGGGTTTGGGGAACCCTTACAACCCTATCAGCCAATAATAATCAATTTCCTGCTGCTGTAATCATAGTTCTCTCTTACTTAATTAGCATTGACGGAGCGATATGGGGAGCTGTCTGCAGAGACAGTATTACAAAGACTGCGTGGTACCAGATAGGCACACGTTACGCCAGATATGGCCTGTTGTTTATGTACTGCAGAGCAGTGCGGGCCAGGGGTAGTCAAGTTTGGTTGATCTCCATGTCAGATAAAGATGATCAAGGAGTGTCACGCCCTGACATAGAGATATCTAGTTAGTTTGGTCAGGGTGTGAATATCTATGTGATTATCTAGAATGTGTATTTCTATGTTGGCCGGGTGTGGTTCCCAATCAGAGGCAGCTGTCGATCGTTGTCTCTGATTGGGGATCATACTTAGGTAGCCATTTTGCCTACCTATGTTGTGGGATTTTGTTTCTGTTTGGCGTGTTTGATGTTTAGCCTCTTGAACTTCACATTCTGTTGGATTTTGTTATTTTGTCCGTGTTTGTATAATAAACGACTATGTACGCATGCCACGCTGCACCTTGGTCCGATCCTTTACTCAACGAACGTGACAGAAGATCCCACCACCAACGGACCAAGCAGCATGGCCAGGAGGAGCAGACACCCTGGACACAGGTGGAGAAGACATTTTGGACATTGGAGAAGATATTAGCCTGTAAAGGACCCTGGGCGAAGGAGGAAGCCCAGGCAGGAGAGGATCAACGGCGACGCCGATGGTACCGACCGCTAAGGAAGCCAGAGAGGCAGCCCCAATAATATTTTGGGGGGAGGGCACACAGGGTGGTGGGCGACGCAGCAGGAGGCCCTGGAAGACCTGCAGCTCAGCACTCTGAGAGAGGAGACCACCACCTTACGGGGGCTGATAGAGAAGAGGGAGCAGGTTTTCTCCCTTCAGAAGGAGGCGCTGCAGGAGGCCCACAGGGAGAAGGAGTCAGTGGATGCATGGAGAGAGGAGCTGGCCAGGCAACATGAGGAGCTGAGAGAGGAGTTAACCCTCCAGCAGCAGAGAGCTCGGGCCTTAGAGCAGAGGCTGGTGGAGCCAGGTTTAGCAGAGCCAACTCCCCGCACTCGCTTTGAGGAGCGTGTGACCGTGCAGGCACCAGGCTATGCGCCGGCTTTACGCACTGTGCCGCCAGTGCGCCTTCACAGACCGGTATGGCCCATGCCTGCTCCTCGCACCAAACCAGTGTTGCGTGTCTCCAGACCGGTGCACTCCATGCCTGCTCCTCGCACCAAACCAGTGGTGCGTGTCTCCAGCCCGGTACGGTCCGTTCCTGCTCCTCGCACCAAACCAGTGGTGCGTGTCTCCAGTCCTGTACAGTCCGTACAGGACCGTACGTGAAGTTCAAGAGGCTAAACATCAAACACGCCAAACAGAAACAAGATCCCACAACATAGGAAGGCAACAAGGTACGGCCCGTGCCTGCTCCTCGCACCAGACTAGTGGTGCGTGTCCCCAGCCCGGTACGGTCCAGTCCAGGGTCAGAGCAGTCCGCTCCACTGGTGCCTAGTCCAGCTCCGGTCAGCTGCTCCACTCCAGTGCCAGAGCAGTCCGCTCCACCGATGCCTAGTCCAGCTCTGGTCAGCTGCTCCACTCCAGTGCCAGAGCAGTCCGCTCCACCGGTGCCTAGTCTAGCTCCGGTCAGCTGCTCCACTCCAGTGCCAGTGCAGTCCGCTCCACCGGTGCCTAGTCCAGGTCCGGTCGTCTACTCTCCCACACCAGGGTCCAGACAGGACTTGGTACATCGCGGGAGGACTGCAGAGCCAGAACCAGACGTCAACCCCTCTTCAGGGTCGGGGCCTCCCACACCAGGGTCCAGACAGGGCTTGGTGCATCACAGGAGGATTCCCGGTCCAGGCCCAGACGTCAACCCCTCTCCAGGGTCGGGGCCTCCCACACCAGGGTCCAGACAGGGCTTGGTGCATCGTGGGAGGACTGAGAGGGGAAGCATCGCGCCGGGGTCCAGACCGGACCAGGTGTGCAACGGGGAGCCAGAAAAGGAGAGGACAGTAAGGTTGACGTCGCGCCGGAGCCGGAGCCGCCACCGAGGCTAAATGCCCACCTGGACCCTCCCCTAATGAGTCAGGTTTTGCGGCCGGAGTCCGCACCTTTGGGGGAGGGGGGTACTGTCACGCCCTGACATAGAGATCTCTAGTTGGTTTGGTCAGGGTGTGAATATCTATGTGATTATCTAGAATGTGTATTTCTATGTTGGCCGGGTGTGGTTCCCAATCAGAGGCAGCTGTCGATCGTTGTCTCTGATTGGGGATCATACTTAGGTAGCCATTTTGCCTACGTATGTTGTGGGATCTTGTTTCTGTTTGGTGTGTTTGATGTTTAGCCTCTTGAACTTCACGTTCTGTTGGATTTTGTGATTTTGTCGGTGTTTGTATAATAAACGACTATGTACGCATACCACGCTGCACCTTGGTCCCATCCTTTACTCAACGAACGTGACATGGAGAGATACAGCTAGGGTTGGAAAATTCCCAAGTTTTCCAGAAATCCCAGTTGGAAGATTCCTAGAATCAGGAGGGAATAAGCATGAAATCCGAAATCCTCCGATGAATTTTATAACACTAGATACAGCCTTAACTTAACTGAAATTGTTGACACTCACCATCGACGCAGGCAGGCCTGGCCTTCGTGGTGCCAGCGATCTGGCCTCTCCTGCAGGCACAGCGGGCAGTCTGATGGGCGATGGTGCATCTGGGCACGCTGCTGTCTCTGTTGAGCATCACAATCTCACAGGTGCCCACAGCCAACTGGCCTGCAGAGACAACAAAGGGAGAGTCCATTCCTTTGTCTGTATCTCCAATGGCATCCTATATTCCCTATGTAGCGCACTACTTTTAACCAAAAGTAGTGCACTATACATGAAATAAGATGCAATTTCAGACACAGTCTATGTTACATTACAGTCATTCAGCAGAAGCTCTCATCCAGACCAGTATTCAAATAGCATTTATTTTCTTTCTAATGCTTCAGCTGCGCTTGATTGAGCTGCCTGGCACAGTGGAATCAATGGAATAGTCCCTTGCTCAATTTTAGGTCATAGGTGCTTCTTTATGACTTTGCCAGAAATTAAATATTAAGACGTACAAGGTTGCTCCATGAAAATTAACTTTCAGCTCTACTTCCTGGCTTGAGACATTATTTCACCTCATTCCCACAATGCAGTTCAAACAGGGGTGAAAATAAGACAGTAAGGTCTGGTACGGCGTCCCGGCAAAATAAGTAGTGGGGGTACGCAGTACAGGTAAAGCATGAGCCAAACAAAATGTCAAGAAAACTGTACACCATTATCTATCAATACCGCATGTCAGAGGCATGAAAAATGAGCGAATGGACTTGAAAACGGGTGGTACAGCCTACGCTCCAAAATGCAATGTGGTTCGAGGAGAACGCAGACATTTTGCCAAGGCAGAGATGAGTGGCCGACACTGAGCTGGTGTAACTGGTTTGTAGGTCTCCTTGCTCGAACACGCTTTTTCAGTTCTGCCCACAAATGTTCTATAGGATTGAGGTCAGGGCTTTGTGATGGCCACTCCAATACCTTGACTTTGTTGTCCTTAAGCCATTTTGCTACAACTTTGGAAGTATGCTTGGGGTCATTGTCCATTTGGAAGACCCATTCTTTAATTTCCTGACTGATGTCTTGAGATGTTGCTTCAATATATCCACATCATTTTCCTTCCTCATGATGCCATCTATTTTGTGAAGTGCACCAGTCCCTCCTGCAGCAAAGCACCCCCACAGCATGATGCTGCCACCCCCGTGCTTCACGGTTGGGATGGTGTTCTTCGGCTTGCAAGCAGTCCCCTTTTTCCTCCAAACATAACGATGGTCATTATGGCCAAAAAGTTATATTTTTGTTTCATCAGACCAGAGGACATTTCTCCAAAAAGTAAGATCTTTGTCCACATGTGCAGTTGCAAACCGTAGTCTGGCTTTTTTATGGCAGTTTTGGAGCAATGGCTTCTTCCTTGCTGAGCGGCCTTTCCCTGTCTCTGTTATTATTACCCTACATCCTGTCCATCAATCACACTACCCTAAACATCAGTAATCTACTTTGACACAAGGAATGTAGACTCAGTGGAACCAAATCACTTATCCAGTAACTCTATCTCTGTCCCCACAATACTATGACATGCCATCATTACAACAACACAAAAATCCATAAAAACACATGTCAAAAATGTTATAAATTGATTTGCATTTTAATGAGGGAAATAAGTATTTGACCCCTCTGCAAAACATGACTTAGTACTTGGTGGCAAAACCCTTGTTGACAATCACAGAGACGTTTCTTGTAGTTGGCCACCAGGTTTGCACACATCTCAGGAGGGATTTTGTTCCACTCCTCTTTGCAGATCTTCTCCAAGTCATTAAGGTTTCGAGGCTGACGTTTGGCGGCTCGAACCTTCAGCTCCCTCCACAGAATTTCTATGGGATAAAGGTCTGAATTTTCCAAGCTGTTCAAAGGCACAGTCAACTTAGTGTATGTAAACTTCTGACCCACTGGAATTGTGATACAGTGAATTATAAGTGAAATAATCTGTCTGTAAACAATTGTTGGAAAAATTACTTGTGTCATGCACAAAGTAGATGTCCTAACCGACATCCAAAAACTATAGTTTGATAACAAGAAATTAGTGGAGTGGTTGAAAAACGAGTTTTAATGACTCCAACCTAAGTGTATGTAAACTTCCGACTTCAACTGTAGGAGGTCCTGTACCAGGAATAAATAAAATCTACTTCACACCCTGAATTCAAACAGAAACAAAACGTATGACCACTGTTGGTAGCTGGTCAATAAATAATCTCATCACACACAGTTGAATCAGTCTCCATCAGTCTTCCCTGCTGAACACCAAATATAACAATTAGTGAATGATGCCAATGTAGCAGAAAAGTTAAAAAATTAAGCTGCCTTGTTAAAGTCAATTAGGAAATACCGACTTGTTATTCCGAGTTGGATGACCGTTCAAAATGTTTTTTCCTTGTCCAAGTATGTTTTTCAGAGTTCCCTGTTGTATTGAAAGTACCATCAGTTACGGCTTCGATTATAAACCTGAAAGGATCGTCTGTAGCCCCACCTTTCACTACAGCGGAGCTAAATAGCTAGCATTTGGAACAACGTATTTGGAGTAAACTTGAGTTAACCGAAGGCCTAAGCATGTATCAATTGAAGAGTCATCTGAAGCTTGAGAGTAGAGGAATGCTGTGGTGTATTCCGCTATGCGTGCCGAGCATGTGTTCCTGGTTCGCAAAGTGCTGGCCCGACTGTTGGAACATGACCTTTATGCCAAGGCAGAAAAGTGTCTATTTTTCCAACAGTCCTCTCCTTCCTCGGATACCGCATTACCACCTCAGGTGTGGAGATGGAGGGAGATCGCATTTCAGCCGTGCGTAATTGGCTGACTCCAACCATGGTTAAGGAGGTGCAGTGCTTTATTGGCTTTGCCAACTACAATCAGAGGTTTATCCGGGGCTTTGGCAAGGTCGCAGCTCCCATCACATCTCTGTTGAAGGGTGGGCCGTCCCGGCTCCGCTGGTCTGCTGAGGCTGACAGGGCCTTCAGTAACCTGAGGGTTCTGTTCACCTCAGCCCCTGTACAATCCTGATCCATCCCTACCGTTCGTAGTGTAGGTGGATGCGTCCGAGGTAGGGATAGGCACTGTCCTATCTCAACGCTCTGGCACACCACCCAAGCTCCGCCCCTGTGCCTTCTTCTCCAAGAAGCTCAGCCCGGTGGAGCAGAACTACAATGTTGGTGATCGGGCGTTGTTGGCTGTTGTCCAAGCCCTGACCATGTGGAGGCACTGGCTCGAGGGGCGAAACACCCTTTCCTCGTCTGGACGGATCATCATAACCTGGAGTACATCCGGGCAGTAAGGAGGCTGAATCCTCGCCAGGCCAGGTGGGCCCTATTCTTCACCCGGTTTGATTTTACACTATCTTACATCCCGGGTACGAAGAACGTGAAGGCAGACGCACTGACCTCTGGGTTTTACCCCGACAGTAATGGGCAGGTGGAACGGGTAAATCAATATGTGGGTAGGTTCCTGCGGTCCTACTGCCAGGACCGGCTGGGGGAGTGGTCGGTTTTCTTGCCATGGGCAGAATATGCTCAGAACTCTCTCCCCCACTCCTCCACTAACCTATCGCCCTTTCAATGTGTTTTAGGTTATCAGCCGGTTCTGGCACCGTGGCATCAGAGCCAGACCGAAGCTCCTGCAGTGGATGACTGGTTTCGGCGCGCGGAGGAGATGTGGAATGCTGCTCACGTTTACCTCCAGCGCGCCGTGCGTCGCCAGAAGGCCAGCGCTGACCGCCACTGCCGTGAGGCCCCGGTCTTGGTACCGGATGATCGGGTCTAGATACTGAAGTGTTTTTGACGCGTAACTCTGTATTTGCGGAATAAAGCCTGTTATTCTGTGATTTACCCTCCTGCGCCTGACTCCTTCGACATCACCTCATCACACTGACGAAGGCCAATAGGCCGACATGTAAGCTTCAATAAAAAAGTGATACTAGCAAGAGCAGGTATCTTTTTTCTTTCAACGTATATAATCGTTACCATGCACCTGCAACAAGATGTGCGAGTGATTTTTTAAAATGTTGAACGTAAAATACAAACACCCAACAGTAGATGTACTGATATCATTTAAAAAAAAGTATTATTACAAACAAGAAACACTTTAAAATGAGAGAATAAATCCAGTTTGGGTTTTAAAAAATGACTTGACCAAAAACAGTACAAAATAAAGAAATAATAGTTATGAATAAAAAACGACTTACACCACCACCACCACAGAAGCTTTGCTATTCACCATCTTCCAAGTTGTTTTGTTGTTTACTTGGAGATCTAACTTTCAAAACTCGCAGCCCCTCTTCCAATGCATTGTGGCTGTGAAATTCCTGAAATTTTGCTGCGAATTCTACTAGATGAAAAGCCTAAATGAGTATGACATCCGGGCATTTAAAGTATACTTCATTTTCTAAATGTCACATACTATCAAACTTTCTTTTTTTGCATACTCAAACGGCCTACTATTTAGGACGCAAGTATGGGTATTCGGACACCGCCAGTCTCACACACTCAGTCTCACACAGTCTCACACACCCCCCCTCCCCACTACATATTCCAGCACATCCCCGTCCCTCCCCCCACTCTGTCAGGCAGTTTGTTGGAGGTTACGGCTCTGCCATCAGATATCAATGCTCTCCCCATGTTTCAACAGCTACCAGATGAATGGGACCACATGCGATAAGCCTAGAGGAGAGAGGGAGGGAGGAGGGAGAGAGAGAGAGATGGAGGGAGACAGTGCAGAACATTACAGGCTTCTAAATGTGCCCTAAGCCACTGCAGCCCACTCCATCACGCCGAGCAGGAGTTAATTCATATGACAGGGTGTTTCTGTCACTTGGTGGCGCAGAGACGCTTGGCCTCGCCTCTATTTCAGATTATGAAATGCACTTACGGCAGGGCACAGAGTGAGGGATGGCAGGGGGGTCACCCACGCTCTGGTTTCCATCACACATGACATCTACAGGCGCTGGCACCCGCTACCGAGTAGAGAGACTAGCTCCACTGGGGAAATTATCTTATCACTGAATCACACACACACGTGCCCATTTACAGAGATGCATGGATACACACACACACACACCCACACACATACACAAACACACATGCAAACACATGCACACACACAAAACCTCAAAGCGAATTCACAGTGTGCAGTTTGATTTCGAATGTGCAATGTTCATGTAAACGTATTGAAATTATGGT